TCCCGGACCGTGCACCGGGAAGGCTGGCACGGCTCCCGGGGAATACGCGAGCCTGGAGATCGTCCTGCCGAGGAGCAGAACTGGGATGTGTTACGTAAATTAGCCCTTCCAGACTAGGTCACCCTTTATAGGGGGAAAAAAAAAAAAAAAGAAAAAAAAGAAGGGGGAAAAAAAAAAAAGAAAAAAAAGCCCTTTTGTCTGCATCGCCTTTTTTTAATTCCATAAAAACAGTTGGCTGTTTTTGTGGAATAGAAAAAGACGAGTTACACTCGGGAAACAGATTCCAAACGCACTTCCATTTGCAACGTCATGCACGTCACCTTGCTGCTAAAATCGAGCCGTTTGCCTTTTTTTTTTTTTGTTTGCTTGTGGGGTTTTCGTGCGGTTTGGAGTTTTTTTCCCCCTAAAAATTAATTGCCAGCTAACGAGCCAACAGAGCATCACTAAATGACAGAATAAATTCGTAAACAATTGTTTCAATTATTAGAACCGGCGTCGTGCTTCCCCTGACTTTCCTTTTGCATCTGGCAGAGGAATGACTTGTTTTTCAGGAAAACTTGTTTTTTTCTGGAATCCATGTGAAATGGCTGTACGGACACTCGCTGTTGCCTCACAAAGACAGCCTGGGGTGTTCCCTCAAGGCACGTTCTATAACGAGTGGATGAATCCACAAAATCTTGCTGAAAATTTACTATTCTAGGAGGTTCTGGCAGAGAGAGTACGGGAATTGTCTTTTTGAATGGCTTTAACGGATGACCTCATCCATCTTGTCTCAACTTAAAATTCCTCTCTGACTTCAGAGACCAGCAGATCCTGTAAAACTACATCAAAACTACACGTGGAGTCAGCTGGAAATTGGTGTTCTGTTGTTCCACAGGGCCTCCTGGGGCTAAAAATCTTTAGGATTGCTTAAAAAAAAAAAAGGGAAACTGATCCCAGACAAAGTGTGCTTATCTGCCTCTTCATTCTCTACCTTGGGAAGCTTTTGTTTTGCTGCTTAATGTGAGGACCCAGGTGTCAGCAGCCTGGAAAGGAGGAATTCCAAGGGCAAAGCTCTGTAGAGTATATCTAATATATTTCTCACCATCACTGAAAGGGCCAGCTCTAATTCTGCTTCCCAGTGTTCTCTCCCAGTTTCACCTTTCCACCCCTGTGCTTTGGCTTTCTGCTGTTTTAGAATCATAGGATCATGGAATGGTTTGGGTTGGAAGGGACCTCAAAGATCACCCAGTTCCAACCCCCCTGCCATGGGCAGGGACACCCTCCACTACACCAGGTTGCCCAGAGCCTCATCCAACCTGGCCTGGGATCAAGTGATTGTTCCTGTGTAGGTGGAAGGAAATACAAATCCCTACTAGGATTCGCTTCCCTGCTCCCACCAACCTGCCCTTCAGTGGCAGCATGCCGTTAGATGGATTGGAGTCCTGCCATTCAATTGCACCGTGAAGAAAAAAGGAATGAGAAAAACAAACCTTTTGAATCCTCTGTTATATCATACTAAGAACTGGGCTAATATCTGCAGCTCACTACTCAGACTGTTTCTGTGTGGTTTAGGCAAATCTTTTATTTCCTGGATGTGCTTTCCTAAGTTGCAGCTGTAGGAATGATGAATTAATGCAGACTGTACTCCTTTTTTATTAAAATGTCAAGAGTGTTTCCCTTGCTGTTGTTGAGGACTTTATAACGTTGGAACATATGGCATTTTTGAAACTTTAACGGTTATTGTTAAAGAGTCTTTGGTGTTTCAATATCAACTACAATCTTTTTTCATTATTTAAGACTGTTTTCTTCTTAGCTTATAGCACATCAACACTGTCATCCTGAGTTGTCGTTTCTTCCCCCTCAGCAGCTTTGTCACAGAACGAGAGGAAGCCATGGTGTGCATTCCTTGCATTGTCATTCCGGTTCTCCTCTGGGTCTACAAGAAATTCCTGGAACCGTATATCTATCCTGTTATCGCTCCGTTCATTAAGCGCGTGTGGCCCAAGAAAGCCGTGGAAGAAACAACAGCCACAAAACCAGGCCAAGGAGGCAGCGCTGGAGATCCTCGGGCACCTTCCGCCGTGAAAAGGGATCAGGAGGAGGAGTCTGGAATTTATAGTGTAAGATTAATGCATTTAGCTCACCAGGGAAACTCCACATAAAGCACCTGGTGATGGTTCGGGGTGGGGCACCACCAAAAAAGCAAATAGTTGGGTGTTTCTACAGAAGCTTTTGTAGCTGTTTTCTTATGAAAGGGAGTGACCAGTACTGAGCCAGGTGGAAATAGTTGCTTGAAGACAGCTTCTGGTAGGTCCTGAAAGGATAGAAGTTGCACCTGTTTTCTGAAACAGCTTAGTTAATTTTTTTTTTTTTTCATAACTGACTGTTCTTTCGGAGAAGGAAGAAGTCAAATAACATCACACCAGATGCATGAAGCAGAATTAAAAAAAAAAAACAAACCCACACTCTTGAGCCAGCTCTGCTACTCATAATGCGGTAGCATTTGTTACTTATCTCGTCTAAGAAAATTAAAAGATTCGTATATGTTGTCTTTGCTTCCCTGCCCCCTCAAAGCAAAAATTGTGTGTAAATCTAAAGACACACCAACACTTTGGTTCTTGCTGCAGATTGCTTTGCAGGTCTTCACTGGCCTTGCTCCTAAAAGTAATTTTGATTGTTACTGTTCCAGGTGTGGAGTCCTTCTTTGACATCCCATTAATGATGCTGTCTTTTATTTGCAGTTTGAAAGCAATGGTGTTCCGAATGGAGTGGCTGCAAAGAGATCTACAGAGGTTTCTGACAAGAAAACGGATTAAAGGATTTTATTCCCTGGTGTCCAATATGAACTGGTGGTATTCCTCTCACTTTTTTCTTTTTCGTTTTCGCTGAGTGAAAACCCTTATCACTTAGAGGAGAGGGTCTCTTTTGCCACTAAAATGGCAGCTAGCACATTTCCTAATTTAAAATGCTTGAAAACTCACGTTCTTTATTTCCCTCGCTGGAACTACTTTTCATCTATAATCTATTTGGTGTGGTTAGAGTTTAGGTTAAATAACTTATGAATAAATCTAGCTTTGGAAGGTAAATGTCTCTTAGCATCTTAGTTTTGCTAACTGCTAGTGCGGTACTTCAGGCTCTCACCTTAAAAACTATAGCTGTTCTTGACCTTGCTAAAGAACCCCGAATTGCATTGTGGCAACCTAAGTGTCATGGCTAAATTATGAAGAGTTCAGGTTTTGAAGTCACAGGTGGGGATGAGCTAAAGAAGTGATGCTGTATGCAAAATTTACTTAGCTTACTAAAAGCAGAAAGCCTTGCTTTGATACTTCCATTAATTATTTTCCTTGAAATGTGCCTTTCTTTCCTGAAGAGCAGCAGCAGCAGCATGACGCAAGAGAACTGTTGCTTTATATTTTGTTGCAGTTGTTTAAAATGGTGCAATTCTGTCTTTAGGAAAAAAAAAAAATCTCTTTAACGTGCTTGTGTAATTTGAATTCTAATAAACCAGGATTTTATTTAAAAATAAGTTGCTTCGTAGAATTATTCTTAGGCTTCTGAGCTACCAACATCTAAAGTGGTAACAAAAATCTTTGAAAACCTGTAGACAGACCCCAGGCAGAAGGAGGTCATAAAATTACTGACTTCATGATAAGAAAGTGGGCTCAGCAAGGGTGTGCACTGATAGGACACGGGGAAATGGCTTTAAACTGAAAGAGGGCAGATTTAGATTAGATATAAGGAAGAAATTCTTCCCTCTGAGGGTGCTGAGGCACTGGAACAGGTTGCCCGGAGAAGCTGTGGCTGCCCCATCCCTGGCAGTGTTCAAGGCCAGGTTGGATGAGGCTTTGGGCACCCTGGTGTAGTGGAGGGTGTCCCTGCCCATGGCAGGGCGTTGGAACTAGATGATCTTTGAGGTCCCTTCCAACCCAAACCCTTCTGTGATTCTGAGTCCAGCGTTGCCTGCTCCTGGGAAGATGTGTGCTGGTGCTGACTGATATCCCAACACTGTAGTGCAATTGTGAAGCGTTCTAGATGTCCCTGTGCTTATTAAGGAATAGAAGTGATAATTCCTGCTTTGTACTCTCTGCCAAACCAGAGCGTGCTTTAGGAGATTGAAAACAAAACCATTCTATCAGCTTTGGATTGCTATTTAGGATTTATCATCTCCCTAAAAGTCCTGCCTAAGGACCTTTTTATACATGCAGTCCTTGAGCCATCACTGAGGTCCTGCCTTGTTCTTGCGACTGTCTTTTCTCCTACCAGATAATTAATTATTCCAAAGACTTGCTTGATGCCTTCCACATGCGCCTGGTGAGGCGTTATCGTTTCCTTCCATACCTGTTTTTGTCGGGTCTTGTGTGAATCCACCTGCAGTGTTCACAAGTGGGTACCGGGCCCTTGTTGCTACAACCAGTACTTCTGCAGGGAGCTGAGTCACGGAAAACTCCGTGTAAGATGTTGCCTAATGCTGTGGGCTCTCCCTTAATGGGGCAGTATATTAGGAAGTGAGTTTGGTGTTACTGTTGAATCAGCTTTTGCATCATCCTTGGAACATCATCCCCCATCTGATCCCATCACAGACACAGCCTTCTCCTGGACCGGTGAAGTCACCTACCCTTTGTGATATTAAAACCTGGTTTTATTCTTCTGAGCATGCATGCACGGTGTAATTTACACAGTAAATATAACAATACTAACTGCAGTCTGTAACTTCTCAGAGATACTGTTGTGTGGATCATGTGGTAGAAAAGACAGGATTAGATAGCGGAAGTCAGGGAAAGAGCCCACACTAGTTTCTGATCATTTCCATCCTTCGTATCTTTGGATATTTCACCAATATTGTTGCAACAAATCGTACCCTATCCATCAGAATTTCAGCTGGTGAAAGATGGATGTCATCTTCGCTGTGGTGGATTGGATTGGGTTTTCTAAACCAATCAAACCCCAATTTACCCCAAACAATAAATTCCTCTGCTACCACTAGCACCCAAGTTCATGCTCTAAATCTGAAAGCTGGGAACTTCCAAGGGTCTGAAACCACCTTGGCAATGAGAAAGGAGTAAACTGCCTGGGAAAGTCTTGCAGAGTGTCTTTCCAATGGCTACAGAAATGAAGGCCGGTTGCAGGTGTGCAGCTGAATGTGAGTGTGTGTCTTACACTTTAAGTGCTGAAAAGATTGTCCCTTCAGCTGTGCTTCCTGCCTCGGGCAGGTGACCTTAGCCACTGCTATAAAATTGCATGCCAAAGCTTTGGAGTAATGTATTCGTCTCTAACAGCTGTGAAAGTGTACCTAATTATTTTGAATTATTTAGGATATTGTTTAACAAGGAAGTGCATCAGACAGTAACAGGGACAATAAACCGACTAGTAAAATAGACTGCAGGCTGAACTGGGCTGCTGGCTGTGTGACAGCACCAGTATTTAAACACCAGGCTACTGAAAAGACTGCAATAAGCAAAATGGTGCAAGTATCTGTTGTTCGTGCTTTCTGGAACGGTGCTTCAGTACTATCATGAGTTGCAGTTAAACAGCAATGTGACTAATCCTCATCACAATGCTTTTCGTGAATGAGGCACTTCACTGGAAGTCCTGGCAGGTTCGTGTTGCAACATTTTCCAAGAGTAGGTCAGTAATCCTATTGTGTTGTGAATAGCTAAGGGAAAAATAAGTCAAAAAAAAAAAACAACAGGCGAAGGAAAAGAACTGCCTGAGCCTGGGAAGGGGTGCAGGAGATCATCTGCTGGGATGCAAAGAAGTGCACAGAGCCTTGTTTAAGAAAACAAGTAGACAGGAATTAAGGAAATCTTCACATGAGACAATAGTGTATATCAAGTAAATTCAATTTAACTGAGAGAATTTCCAGATGTTTGCTACTCACTAAAACTAAGATTTACAAAAGGGCTTAGCCATCTAATAACGGCAGGTGGACATCTACCAGAATTTACTAGCGCAAGTAGCAGCTTCATTCATACTGAAGACTTTCAGAAAATTGCAGGCTGGGCATATTTAGGGACCAAAGTACTTCTGCAAATCTAGTCTTAAGATCTTCAGCATTGTAGCTGTCTGGGTTTATTTAAATACTATCGAGGAAGGATCAAGAAGTCAACCAATATTTGAAAATATTTGGAAAAAAAAAACCATTCAAACCAATATTTGAAAATATTTGGCAAAAAAACCCACATTCATAGAATCATAGAATGGCATAGGCTGGAAGGGACCTTAGAGATCACCTAATCCAACCTCCCTGTCATGGGCGGGGACGCCTCTCAACTAGACCAGGCAACTCAAGGCTCCGTCCAACTTGGCCTTGAACACCTCCAGGGAGGGGGCATCCACAACTTCTCTGTTATGCTCGTGAAAAATATGAAGATAAAACCTTTCCTGTTCTTGGTAATGTGATAGATAAAAGGGTAAACTGAAAGTATGTGAGGTACTTGTCCTATCAGTGGACACTCTTGTAAAAAGTCCCTCCCCAGCCTCCCTGTAAGTTCCCTTCAGGTATTGGAAGGCAGCTATTAGGTCCTAGGTCCCCTGAAGTCTTCTCTTTTCAAGGCTGAACAATCCCAGCTCCCGCAACCTGTCCTCGTAGCAGAGGTGCTCCAGCCCCTGGATCATCTTTGTGGCCCTCCTCTGAACACGCTCCAACAGATCTGTGTCTCTCTTATGGTGGGGACACCAGAACTGGACGCAGTATTCGAGGTGGGGTCTCACAAGAGCAGAGTAGAGGGGGAGAATCACCTCTCTCGACCTGCTGACCACGCTTCTCTTGATACATCCCAGGATGCATTTGGCTTTCTGGGCCACGTGAGCGCACTGCCGGCTCATGTTGAGCTTCTCATCTATAAACACCCCTAAATCCTTCTCTTCAGGGCTACTCTCA